AACAGAGGGGCGAAGGACCGTCTTAGATCCAAACAGCGGTGATAGGCAAATCCAAGTTTATGCCGAAGTTCAAGAAGGGTGAGGCGATCATAGCAAAAATTTGAGCTACTATCCACCAAAGAGCAACACAGGAAAATAAAAAGCAAAAACAACAATCGGGAGAGCAGACGGCAGGCCGTGGACGGCGCCATCTTGACAGGCATCTTATTAAAATGCCTTCTGGACGCCTCCCTGGTGAGGTTTTCCAGGCACGTCCAACCGGTAGGATACCTAAAGGGAGACCCAGGGAGGGACTACGTCTCTTGCCTGGCCAGGGAACACCTTTAATCATAGATCCACTAGGATAAATACAATAAAGTTTATCTCTCGCCAAATAGAATATTTACTAAGCAATCACAATGTAACCGTAGACACATTGCTTTGTGTGTGTGTGTGTGTGTTTATGGTTTGTGAGACCTATTTGTCAGGTTACACACCAGCATTATGAAACCAATAGGTTTATGAGACCATTTTTGATGGGCTCGTAAACCGTGACTTTTAAAGTGTTGTAATCTTTGAAAAAATATAAAAAGTAAGCATTGTTAATATATTATTACAAACGTTGTAACAGCCATTATCATCTTATTTAGTTATTTCTGCAACTTAACCTTCCTTTTGTGTTTTATAGCCAATTTAAAAATTGGTTTTGTAAACCATATCTGTTGTGATGTATATAATATCAGAGCCCCCTGCTGGTAGAAAACTGCATAGCAGGGCTGATACAACCGATACAACTTAGCACCTCAGCAGCAGGACTTCTCCTGGCCTAATACTGACTTCTCGCTAAAAAATATAAATTGCCATAATTTCGTCATCGTAGGACACAGAGTCACAAAAATGTTTGTGGTCATTTGTCATCCACTCCTAAACAACAATCAATAATCAGATGATGACGTAATCAAGGCTCCGCCCCCTCACTACAGAAAAGGTATTGTTTACTCTGAAAGCTCCCAATTGTACCCTTTTGATCTAACCAATATGAATCACTGCCAAATAACAGTTGACATGTTGGGCTCACTTAGCATCCAGTACTGGCAGGTGTTGAAAAAGGGAGGGGCTGTGGCGGTATGGCGAAATCAGGAGTAACGCCGTAGCAATACGTTTGCCTCTCATTTCCTCATTCCTCAACTTATCTGCAGGAAATTTTGCATTAGTGTGACTAATCTGACCTCAAACAGATATGGATGCAAACATCCGGTGGGCGTGGTCAATTTTTTTCAAATAGCGCCTCCTAGGACCATTGAAACAGTAAGCCCCATGTCATGCTTTCACTGAGGATTATGAAAGCTGGTACACTTATGTAGTGTCTCAGAACCTACAAAAAAGTATATGGAGCCACTTTCCAAATCCGACAGGAAGTCAGCCATTTTAGTCACATGACTATTTCTTCTTTTCTTTTTTGCACATGCTTAATTAGAGCTAACTTATCGTAGAGTTTTTGACCTATTGACTTCAAAATGACAAATTTCACTCATAAGCCACTGGAGATCAAAAGTTGTGAAAAACATTCTCAAAAGTATAACTGTGTAGGCATGGCTAAGCCTAAGATATTGACCCCTTGCCACATCAGTGGGTGTGACCTATTTATTTAAAATAACAGGCCCCTAGGGCGATTAAAACTATCAGCCTCATGCCATGCTTTTACTGAGGATTATGAAATTTGGTACACATATGTAGTGTCTGGCAGGTTTCAAAAGAGGGTGGGGCTTAAGGAGTATGGCGAATTTAGGCATCACACCATGGAATTACGTTTGCCTCTAATTTCCTCAATTCACATCTCATCTGTGCAAAATGTAATGTGATTTACTCTAATCCAACCCCAAACAGATAATTATACAAATTTTCCATAGGCATGGCTTAGTTTTAATATAGTGCTCCCTAGGACCATCACAACAGTCAGCTCTATGTCATGCTATGACTGAGGATTATGATATTTGGTACATTCATGATGTGTCTTGAGACTTACAAAAAAGTCTCCTGAAACCATGTTTCAAGACCAACAGGAAGTTAGTCATTTTGGTCAGATGATGCCATTTTGTCATTTTAACACATATTATATTTTAACTAACTTGTCCTAGGGCTTTAGGCCTATGACCAAAAATTGATAAGTCATTGGGAATCAAAAGTTGTCTAAATAGTTTTCAAAAGGACTAATGGTGTAGTTTGGGCTTAGTCTCAAATATTGATTTTTTTACATTAAAGTCCTTGGTTTATTAACTTGCAGAGAAATGATCAGAGCTATATCCAACTTAGTGTGTGTCATCTCAATTCTCAAAACAATGACGGTGTCATTTCCTGCCATCACCAAAGCCACTACCCCTGACAACAGGAAGTTTATTGTTTTATTCTAAAAGGTCCAACTTTGACCCTTTGTATAGAATCAACATGAGACACTGCCCAGTGACAGAAGACATGCTGGTGTAATGTAGCATTCAGTAATGAGATATTTCAAGAGAGAATGGGGTTGTGGTGGCACGGCAAAATCGGATGGCAAGCCGTGGCCTTACAATTGGCTGTAATTTCATCATACACACTGATTTTCACCAAATTAAACACAACAGATGTTACAGTCTCTCAAAGAAATGTTTGCAAATTGTTGGTAATTAAAGTCTTAATTTTGCTTTAGGGCCCCTTGCATGCATTCATCTCTTTAATAACTTCTACAAAAAAGGTCATAATATGTCAATATGACTTTCTTGTTTAGTCCTTGTAGCTGTGTTGAGTGTTAACTTGACAAGGTTTGTACACTCTGTGAGCCCCTAGCTGCTTTTTATACACAACAAGCCATCAACAAGCTATCCTACCCAATCCTATCCTTTAAATAAAGTTATTGTGCCATGAATAAATCTGACATACTCACTCAAAAATGGAACCACAATTAGCCACCTCCTCTACATAGATGACATAAAACTGTATATCAAGAGCGAGCGAGACATTGACTCACTAATCCACACCACCAGGATCTACAGCACTGATATTGGAATGTCATCTGGACTTGAGAAGTGTGGTCGAATGTTGACAAAGGAAGAGAAGATAATAGATACAGGAGGGGGTCACACTCCCTGAAGGAACAAAATCAGACCTTGAGGACAGCTACAAATTCCTTGGTGTCCAGTAAGCAAATGGCAACCTCGATGAGGCTGCAAGGAAATAAGCCACAACCAAATACTTAAAACAAATAAGGCAAGTACTAAGAAATCAGCTCAAGGGCAAGAACAAGATTTGGGAAATAAACAGCTACGCCCTGCTAGTAATCAGATATCTGTCAGGAATAATGAGCTGGCCAAAAGAAAAAATACATCTGAGGCCTTGACTCCCCCCAAAAAACCCTATTTCCTCTTTGATTCCTTGATATTTTGAATGTTATATATAAATGTGTATACTGGTCTCATAATGTTTAAATGTCCCCTTAAACCATGAAACAGTCAGAATTGTATATTTTTGTAATCAGACCTCATAAACCCTAATTGTCTCCATAAACCACCAGGTTGTCAAGTCCTCATAAGCCTGTGGAAATTCATATGTGAAATGTATGTATGTTCTGATATGTTTTTCCTAATTTTGAAGTGAGACTTTTCTTCTATGGGTAAAATCAAAATTTTTGACATACTTTTTCGTGTTCACCAGATGCAGGGAAAGGTGTGTCCTCATAAACGACCAAAAAGTCATAGTGGCTTCATAAACCATATATACACGTGTGTGTGTGTGCGCGCGCGTGCGTGTGTGTGCTCTGTCTTCTCGATCGCCAGTGAGTCATGGTGGATGGCTGCTTATACTGAGCCGGGATTCTCTGGAGGTTTCTTCCTGTTAAAAGGGAGTTTTTCTCTCCACTGTCGCTATATGCTTGCTTAGTATGAGGATTGCTGTAAAGGATGCAATTTGCTGGGTTCCTTATATAGGACACATTTTTTCTGATTGGCTTAATGAACTGACCTGAATTGGAATGTTTATTATGTGAAGTGCCTTGAGATGACTCTTGTCGTAATTTGGCGCTTTATAAATAAAATTGAATTGTGTTTGTGCGCACCGCGGGAGCGAGCAATGAGCATGTGCGTTTTTGCAGCTTGCAGTGTTGCCAACTTAGCGACTTTGTCGCCATTTCTAACGACTTTTCAGACCCCCTTAACGACTTTTTTTTCTCAAAATAGCGCCTAGCGACTAATCTGGCAACATTTCTGACCCCCCTCAGCTACTTTCTTCCTTCTACTAAAAGATTCAAACTATTAGTTAAGCGAGTTAAAAACATGTTTCATGTATTGCCAAAATGTATTTTGAGAAAAGAAATGTACATGCATGTAAATTCTTACTATGGTAATTTGAAGGATGAAGAAAGAAAAGATTGTAAAAGCTATAGCTGTGAGAATAAGAGATGATAATTTTATTTAGCTGTAAACAATAATTGCATTATTGTTGTGCAGGCTAGGTTTTTATGCTCGGTACGGGACTGAAGTGGATTGGAGTCCTGGATTCTCTCCGGATGGAGATGGCGAGCCTGTGCCCGAACTGAACTGTATCCCGATCAGGTGAACATCATTCTTCTATACTGAGCCAACATTCCAGTGGTAACCACTCAGACCACTGAACCTGAGTTTTACAAGACCGAGGAGACTTTCTTTTTGACTCGACTACGACCAAATAGAAGACTGACTTTGAGCTCAGCCTGACTAGGTTTACTGATATAGGGGGAAAGGCCTAATTGTTTAATTATATGTCTATTGCAGCTGCAGTATTTTTTGTTCTATTTTCATATATCTATATAAAATTACAAATCTGGTGTAACTGTGTTTTTTTGCTCATTCTTTGGATCCAGCTATTCCATTTCCCACTCACTGGTAATTTGTAAGGTAATCCTGTTGGACCTAGAGTCTGGCCTGTTTATTATTATTTTTTGAATAAGTGGTAACTTAATCTGACGCCAGGGTTACAATAGACTGACAATATATTCATTCATCCACCAGTACCTGTGTCCATGCTGTCCAGGTCCAGGTGGTGAAGAACACACGATGAATCCGTCCCAGCTGATGGATGATCCTGAAGTGGTAGCAGGTTTTCTTTAGCCGTGTTTAGCTAACAGCTGCAATAGAAACAAAGCAGGAGAGCTGATTAAGATGTTGCTTCAGAACAACGCAGGAGATTAAAGATCCAACGCTTTGGTTCTGGCCAAAGGAACAGCAGCAGATCCAGAGGGCAGGAAGTCTAGAGAAAAGCTTTTCTCACCCACAACCTGATTCTGGAGCTCCGATTGTCACGAAGACCGCAGAATATCTTCTCTGGTTCTGGAAAGAACTCCGCCAAGTTGTTGAGGAGGAGAAGAAAGTTTCCACAGCCTGGTGAGAAGATTTCTGCAGCAGCAGCAGTTAGTCGCTTTAGCTGATCAACTCTCCCAGAGACTGAAGTGAAGACGTTTTTACTGCAGAGCCTCAAATGTTCTCCTCACACACCACAACAACAAGCTAGCTCCGCTAGCAGCTTCCGGTTTCTGCTTTTTCCGGTGGTCGATGACCAGCGTAAAGGTGCACTACCGCCACCTGCTGGAGCAGAATAAAACACACCTGGCTCTCATACACAACTTCCGCTGGTGGTTTTTTAGACAAAATATTTTATTTTTATTTTTTTTAAACAGGTTTTATTAACTTGTTGTCAATACATTCAGAAAATACATTCAATGTATCCATGGATCACATTTTACAGTTTTTTACAATTGCAATAACATACATGCAACATTAGGAAACTATTAAACAAAAAACAAGAAATAAACAAAAGATTGAAGAAAACATATATAACTTAGAAACATAACACTTAGGGTCTGCTGTGTCTAAGTTGAAATGATGAAATAAGTTGATGGTCTTTGTTAGTTTATTGTTCTTTTTTTTATTTTTCAATGCTGTTCCAATATTTCATAAGGTCTGTAATTCTGAAATTATAGAAGGAGGGGATACTTTTCTGAAAAATCATTTTATGTAAAAAATATTTTGCTAAAATAATGACTAAGTTAATTATGTATTTTTCATTGGATGATAAATGAGGGTTAGTAACAATGAGAAGTATTTCATATTTGCTTAAAGAAACATATTTTTGTAACTTTCTGGAAATGTATCTTTGTAAATGGAACCAAAACAAAGTTACATGAAAGCAATCAACAAAAACATGTTCAATAGTTTCTCCCTTACAACCACAAAAAGTACAGATGTCAGAAACATTTGGAAAAAAAATACAGATGTTTGCTTTTGACGGGTAATATCTATGAACAATTTTGAATAAAACTTCTTTTATCTTATTCACAATGACATATTGGTGAGGTAGCAGAAAGACCCTGTTCCAGAGTTTTGTATTCATCAAAGTCCATCGGTGTTTACATATCGGGGTTGAGACAGGATAAATTGCTTTTCTAATAACAGAATTATTACATTTCTTATCTGTGATTGGAATCCCAGAAATAGTTGGAGGTCTGTAGACAAAATATTTGTCGTAATGTTTTTTGTTCCTCTCTCCAAAAGCACCTGGCTGCAGACCTCCACTGTCAGGCTGCTTCCGGTGGAGGCTCCTCTGTCAGGACGGGAAATGCACGGAATACATTAAGAAATAAAACGGCAAACATTGGCCGTGTTCGAGTTGAGCTGCGCAGTGCGCCTCGCCTGGAAACAAGCCCCCACAATGCGGCTCTAAAATTGGTCCCAACCCGGAAGCACCAGAAATTGCAGTTCCACCCTCATCCGCTGGGGGCTGGTGTCAAAAGCTAGCAAATCCTCATTGACTCCCATGTTAAAAATACCAATGTCACAGCAGAAATAAACATGTTTACAGCCTGGTACCAGAACATGTTTTTTGTCTAAATTATCTAGTTTACACTCATGACAACTCTGAGGGGGCTGAATTTTTTTCTCACTCTTCTGTTTAAGTGTATTAAAAGCCTAAAATTCTGTATAATTAATGAGCATCAGACCCACGTGACCACAGAGCTAGCTCCGTGGAAAGGCCTCAGTACAGCCTCGGTCTCTCCTGGAAACTGCTCCGGGATTTTGAGTCTCTGTGCTTGTGAATTCTGTTTTGGATATTTTTTGTGCAATTGTTGGACAAAATGACTTGCTGTGGCATTAATTGCACTAATAGAGCATCCAAGGAGTCTCCACTTAATTTTTTTTGTGGTAAGTTAAATTATATGTATGTATTTTAGGTCACTGCCACCTTTAAACTAGCTGAGTTTATCGAAGTAGCTAGCTAACTATCATTTTAACATGTAGCATGTACTGTTTAACCATGAAATTTAGATGTTAAATACGGTAAAATAATTAATAGGGCATATGTCGATGGGTAAAACCCAGTGCATTTAACATAAAATGGGTTGAAATCGCTGAAATATGACGGAGCGCTTGGAGGGACACTTCTGTGTTCCATTCTTCCATCCGGTACTCCCCAGCGGTCAGGCCGGTGCATATCTGACTGATGCGGCGCCTAGCTGCTGCGCGGGCTGACCGCTCGTGGAGCTCTCTGACTCGGAGACAGATCTGACCGGAGAAATACTGCAGCTCGGTGAGTTGTTTGATAGTTTTGGATGTCAGTCTCCAGAAGTCTATAGGGCATACAGGGTTTCCCTTAAATCCCACATCCTCGGCTCATTTACCCTCTGCCGAGCCGGACTGAGCTCGATAACATGGACCCAGCACAGCCACTGGGTCGTTGGAGCTGCCACCGGGCCTGCCTGAAGGAACACCAGCGGGTTTCATCAGACTCGTAAAGTTTCTTGTTTTTGCTGGGGACCCCCTGTATTTTACCGCTCCCTCCTGCAGTCTTCCCCTATTAACATTTAAAAAGATTCTGTAAACTCTGTGTATCAATAGAAACAATCTCTGCATCTGCCAGCTGCAGTAAATGTAGTCTCCAAATAATAAATAGGAGGTGCATTCATCTGTGTATCTCCTTTGATCCACATTAGTGATATTTTCAGCACCAGAACAGTGAAGCAACAGATTCCTGAGTTTGGTAGTAATTTTATTTATTAGGTGCATCTGACCTGTTCTATTTTTCTCTTAAATGAGATCAAATCAGTTTTTCTATGGGGTTGGCTCCACTCTGCACTAGAAATTTTTAATTTATTTAGAGACGTGTCATAATTCCTCCCCAAGCATGACCTGACCGGAGAAATACTGCAGCTCGGTGAGTTTTTTTGATGGTGCTTGATGTTAGAAGTCTGTATGCCATACCAAGGACGGATAATGGAGTTGCATGTCTCAGCACTGACGCAGGAGAAGCATGAATCAGGCTTAAGATCAACCCTCCTATATTCATGAAACCTAAGAAGTCCAATTGCCTTCTTTAAAAATCCATTTGATGTCATACTGAACAACTGTTGTATTTGTTTCTAATTTTAATGATTCTGTTTCAGGTGGAAATGCTGTGTGATTCCTGTGTCCTGTGGCCCATGACCTGTGTCAGCCCGGTTCTGGATGTGGCCTTGCTGAGTTCTCTGTTGCAAGGTTTTCTGGCGCTTGGGGCCGTTCCAGAGTGCACCTGTTCCTTGGCGGTCTAACACTTCACATTCCAGCACACGCACGAACACATGCTTGTTGATGTTTGTTGTTTATGATGTTTGTGGTTCATGGTTTACATGTTTATAGTTGTTCATCCCACGTTTTCTTGATGATTCTTAGAAATGTTTCTTCACAGGTGCAGCTGCTGGTTGCTGTTTTTTATGTTGGTTTCCTAGTTGTATTAATTTTTCCTCTTATTTACTTGTTTATCCTCTATCAACAGTCTTTATTCCAGATTGGTTCAGCATTTACATGCTGATGTGGCGATACATAACCCAAACCAATATTACTCAAGGGGAACCTCGTACACATTAAGGCTCCTCTTGATGGAGCAAATCTGTTCAGCACATTCTGACAGACAGACCACCATTCTTCTGTCATGCTGCTGTACAGGACATTTTTAGAGCTTTTCTTTTTAAAGATAAATAGTATTACATGTAAAGAGCAATACTTTCACATTATCATTTTCCCACACTTTCTGTATACCTGTATTTTGTTGTTTTTCAATAAAGAATGACAAATTATTTGTTTGGTTTTTGTTGCACACAAATATATATCTGTAAAAAATATCTACAAAGCTAATATTTACATAACAAGTATGATTGGGTTTTGCAATATGGCACTCTGTTTATTTTAGTAAGATTTTTAAACCAAGTAAAGTTAGTAAAGAACACATTTCTATTGGCTGCTAAGAAACTGTTGGGATTTAAAATGGGCCTGTTGTACAAATAACTTGTAAATGATTATTCCTCACTTTTTTGTCTTAACCAAAGAAATTCCAGTAATTGAGCAAAAACATTTAATTTTTTCTACTGCATTTTATAAAACAACAGGGCACAAAGTGTCGGCACATTAAAAAAACTTAAAATTATAAACTGGGCCCAGAGAGCTGCAGAGTGAGTGCAACATTGTGGTTTGAAGGAAGAACAGTTCAACAGTGTAATGGCTACAGATAAATTACATCATCAACACATTAGCTAGAACAGTCAGGGATATGTTTATCCTGTTTGCCTGAAAATAAATCTGTCCTAAAGGCCAAATTCAAAAGCAGCAAGACTCCCACCTGGAAGTCTTTCACTGCTTTTGGAGCTGGCCTTTAAGACAATCGGCAATATTAGTTAAAAATATATAATTTCCCCTATTTGTGAAATGAACTCTGTCTGACAAAAATATCGTTTCTGAGGTGAGAATGCACAACAAAGGCACCATTTAAACTAGAAATAAAAGTAGCCATTACACTGATGACGAACCTCCTGGCCTTCTCAATTTTGGCAGGTTTTACACCTGCCCTCCATCTACACCTTTGGGTGATGGACGACATGATGATGGTCATATTTGGGTGGAGAAGGTGAAGCCGGTGCAGGTCCTCCTTCATCATGGTGACCAGCTTCACACTGCTGACCACCCGCATGTCATTGCCGCCACAGTGGATGATGAGGACATCAGGAGCTGCTCTTCCATGCAGGGAGTGGAAAAAGAAGGGGAGAAGGTCTTTCCACCTCAGTCCGCCCCAACCGAACCAGGAGACACAGACGTCAGGGAGGCCAAGGTTGTCTCCGAGGGTCTCTGCAGCTCTCTGGGCACCACGCCTCACGTAGCTGTCACCGATGATCCAAGTGGCTATGGAGAAAAAAAAATAACAGGTTTGGCCTAGCTGTTTAAAGTACAAAACCATACATGAAGTGGTCAAGACGGGTATTTGGAACTTACACTTGCTGCGTTGTGTAGCTGATGTTGGAGACACACAGGCTGCCATGGTGACCTTTTAACAGATCTAAGAAAAAAATGTAATAAAAGAATGAAACTTAAAAACTCCCAGACCTCATTTCATGATTGCTAATCAGCTATGGCTGATTTATTGTTTGGATCACAGTGAGTTAACTGTTATTTTCACATGACTGTTATCAGGCTCTCTTGTTCTGGTTCTCATGATAATAATTCTGTTTCTTCCAGTAAGTTATCTTGTGCTTACTTCATCTGTATAATGTCTCTTTACTTTTGGTGAATTGTACTGAGTCCAGAGTAAAGGCTAGTTGGCTGTACAAGATACAAACAAGTATCACATTTTGGAAATATATGAAATGTATTTAGCCTGATAATTTATCTCAAATACTAATAACTACCGTATTTTCCGGACTATAACTCGCACTTTTTTACAGTCTGGCCGGTCCTGCTACTTATACTCTGGAGCGACTTATATAACAAAATATGTAGGCTACACCGCGCTGCTGCGGGCCGACTCCGACCCAAGAATGAGTTCCCCTGTCCCGCTGGGAGGGTTTCAAACACCACCAGCATCTGCTGTAGCCTGTGGCGGGGTGCTGAGGGCCAGCTCCAGCCCAGGAATGAGCTCTCCTCGCCTGCTGGGAGGGTTTGAAACACCACCATCCTCTCCTCTGCTGGCTGGAGACCATGGCGCGCTGCTGCGCCCGCGTTGTTCATTCTGTTATGGTTACCGGTGCTTGTCTTGCAATGTTTAACGCTTGGTCTCAGATTTTGTAAGAAAAATAATAAAATGTCCACCCAAAATACGACTTAAATATATTTTTTCTTCTTGATTATACATTTAATGGCTGGTGCGACTCAGGAGCGACTTATTGCCCGGAAAATATGGAACTGAAAACTTGCTCAAAGCAAAATATGGGTTCATTACGGAAATAAATTATAAACTTACCGATTTAATACTTTTTTAATCCAGGTACTTTTCACGAAAAAGCACCGAAAACCTCCACCTAAACTTTGTGTGAGGTTCAGGTAGATGGGTGTTCCATAGTTAGCTCCGGTTGGGTTGTAGCTAGGTGGCTACATCCGTTAGCTCGGCTCCCACCTCCGCGTTAGCTTTGGGTTAGCCAGGGTTAGCTTCAGGTTAGCTTGTAGCTAGTTCGACCGGGTGTCATCAGTCGATCCCAGCCTTACAGCCGCACCCTCAGCGCCTCCTCTCTTCCCTTTTATGGAATTGTCTGGGCTGGACGGAACCTGTGACACGGTCAAAATGGCGGTGGTGGCCACCTCCCATTTCAGACAAAAAACTTATTATTGGAGACTATGGAAACCCATTGTCCAGTATATATGTCGATGTGTGGAACACAGGTTCAGGTCAAAAGGTGACAGAATGAGACTAATAACAGTGGAAAGAGAAACTGTTGAAGATCTGAGGGAAACGATCAACAGAGCAGATTTAGCTGGAATCACACAGCTGCAGGTTTTTAGGGACAAAGAGAAAACTGATCCATCTGTTACTGGAATTCAACAATCAGTTCTCTGGAGGAACAAATTATTTCATCCCTCCTGATGTTCTTAGTTCAGTTCAGTTTATTTATAAAGTGTTAGATGGGATGAGAGACTAGAGAGGATGTAAAGCTGTTTTCACTCAAGGGTGGACGATAGCCGTGAACTATCAGGGTCAGTGTTTAATGCCACCATTAGTTCCGTTTTACACACTCCAGCTACTTTGTTCCCTCTCTTCCCTCTTAACACTGCACACTAGGGGTTGTATGAACTAGTCGACTAGTCGACTTCACGGCTCTGTAGTGACTTTTTATGCCTGTCATCGACTAGTCGCTGTCACGTGATAATGACTGACAAGATGCAGTCCTCCAGCAGGTGATGAGCCCCTGCGTCGGGAGGCTGAGGCGACACGCTGTGCCAGAGCGTCGGTACTGACACCGGCGGTAAAACGGACATTTATCCAAACTGTGACCTTTTCCCTCTTGCAATTTTACCTTCCCCTCACCCCCATCCTAATCTTAACCAGTTTGCGCATGCAAAGCTCTGATCGTTGACGCGCTCAATCTGCGTCCTGAGCACCGCCAAATCAGGTGTCACCACCTCAAAAACAAATTTAGCACGCGATCGTTCATGTCGGCTCATTTCCTTTCATGTTTTCTGTCTGTTATTTGTGCCTGATGCGTTTCGCTGCTGCGGAGCGAGGCTCTTCACCTGTTTTGTTCTCTGGTGACGCACCCCCAAGATTCCACTATCTCCACTTCGGCACGAACTCCGCAGCAAAAATGGCCGGCGAGCAACGGCACTCCGCTGTTTTTGTGGTCGGTAGATCTTTTAGAATTGCGGTTCAAAGGTAACTCATGAGGTGAATATATATGAACCCAGGTAGCAGTTTCTCTTTAGGATTGAGAGGAGATGCAGGAAGATAATAAACAGGCAGGACAGAAAAATAGTCAAATAAAAACAAGTTTGCTTTTGTACCTGGTGGTTGCAACAAACAGACGCCATTGAAGGTAATCAGAAGTGATGAACAGAAAATGAAATAATTATTTTAATGTGTTTTAATGAGCAGCAGGAACGCCGAGAGGCTGCAGGTGTATCAGTTTGCTGCTGCTGCGCAGGGGGAGGGGGAGAGGACTGAAGCAGGATGCAAAAACTACCGTTGTTAAAAGAGATGTGTTAACTTAGAAAATGTGGGCGCAATTTTAATTGTCAAAAGCTCCAGCAAACTTACAGACCCCCCCCCCCCCCCCCCCCCCCGCCGCTTCAGGTGTATGACGTCATCAACGACTAGTCGAAGTTAACTCGATTTTCATTACTTGACTGTCAACTTAAAAAAAAAAATTCATGCAACCCCTACTGCACACATCACATCCTGTTAGCGGCCTTCAAAATAAAAGAGTTTGGTGGCAGGAGAATCTCATCTTGGGTTTATGAGGATGATAGGGATGTCCCGATCCAATTACATGATCAGAAATCAGCCCCGATCACGTGGTTTCAGACTGATCGGGACTCGGGCTTTACTTCCCGATCCAAGCCCCGATTCGGAGTCGGATACTGGGTTCAAATTACAGGAGAGCAACTTGGTTCTCCTTAAAGGTTGTCAGGCTCCCCTGATGCCCTTAACTTACACACCCAGAAGGAGCACAAAAGAGATCCAGTTTCTACCTATATTATATTATTTATATGGACTCAGCGTAGCGGGGATTCTTTTGAGCAGAGCGGCAGGCAGACCGTTGATTATTCATGAACTCCAGCTGCGTTCTGCACACGGCCACAGTAACATTTTCTAAGTTTCTAAGTGGCGTCACACAGTCATTAGTGTCCGTTCATTTTCTCTCTGGTAAGTTCTGTCTGTATTTGAGCACGACGTGTGGACGCGCTCGCGCTGCAGCGCTCGTCACTGGCTCAGCCGGGCAGCGCAGCGCACACTCTGCTTTTTTTGTGGTCAATAGATCAATTTGATCTGCTAGTAATAAAAGTTATTTGTGAGGTGAAAAAGAAGGAAGCAGGCAGGAGTTTTTCTGGAGGACTGGGAGATGCAGGAAGAGCAGAGACAAACAGGACAGGAAGATAGGATTACATGATCAGAAAGTCCAAAAGTGAAGAGTTTATGTTATTTATTACTTGATTGTTCAAGCTACCTCACAGAAAGTGATCTGTTGTTAAAAATTAAATTAAAAAGGTAAATAAATAAACAATAAGGAGCATTCTGGAACCGTTTCTTCCTTTTCTTTTTTTTTATATGTATCAAAAGTATCGGATCGGGACTGGGTATCGGCAGATTCTCAAAATCAAATGACTCGGACTCGAGGGCAATAAAACCTGATCGGGACATCCCTAGCGGATGATGTGGTTCTCCTAGCTTCATCAGGCTCTGACCTACAACTCTGCTGGGAAGGTTCGCAGCCGAGTATAAAGCTGCTGGGATGACGATCAGCACTTCTAAGTCTGATACCATGGTTCTCGACCGGAAAAGGGCGGCTTGCCAACTCTGGGTCAGGAGAGGTCGTGCCTCAAGTAGAGGAGTTCAAGTATCTTGGGGTCTTGTTCACAAGTGATGGAAGGAGGGAGCAGGAGTTTGACAGGCCGATTGGGGTAACATCTGCAGTGATGCGGATGCTGAACCGGTCTGTTGTGGTGAAGAAGGACCTGAGCCAGAAAGCAAGGCTCTCAATTTACCAGTCGATCTACCGCCCAGTCCTCATCTATGGTCATGACCTTTGGGTAATGACCGAAAGTGCAAGACTGCAGATACAAGCGACCGAAATGAGTTTTCTCCATGGGGTGGCTGGGCTCAGCCTAAGGGATAGGTTGAGGAGCTTGGACATCAAGAGAGACTCAGAGTTGAGCTGATGCTCCTCCATATCGACAGGAGTCACACTCTAAGAAAAAATGTATGTAAAAAAACAGTAGAATACTGGCAGCTACAGACGCCAGCATTTTACTGTTTTTTACAGTAACTATACTGTAAGTTACTTTTATAGTAACTTACTGTTAAAGTGAATACAGTACAGGTACTGTATTCACTTTAACAGTAAGTTACTGTGTGAGTAATTTACAGTACAGTTGCTGTGGATTAACAGTAAAATGCTGGCGTCTGTAGCTGCCAGCATTCTACTGTTAATTTACATTTTCAATGCTGTAACAGTTTTAAAGTATTTTACCGTTAAAGTAATTGTTGTAGTGAACAAATAAATTTATAGTTACATACTGGCGTCTGTTGCTGTCAGAATGTTACTGTAATGAGTTTCATTACTGAATTTACTTTATAAGTAAATATCTGTGAAAATACAGTGCAACTATACAACCACTAAAATAGTAAAAATGTTTTCTGGCACAGGGTGTAACACAAAAAGAAATGACCCACAAAAAAGTTATTGGTGCAGTTTTCAAAACGTGTAAGCTCTATGAAACAAAAAAAAAGAGGATGACATGAAGAACATAGGTCTGAATGTGTATTTATAAACCAATATGCAACAATAAACCATACGCAGTTTTGTTCTTACAAATTAAATTAGAAACATGCATTTCCATGGCAGGGAATAGTTAAAAAACTGGCCACATAACAAATAAAATGTCCATGGCTGCAATTAAGATTCAATAAAAAGAAAAAAAAGTGCAGATTGCAGTCTTTTACATAATCAGTTTTAACAATTCTAAGATCCAAAAAAATAAAAACTCTAAAGAAAATAACCTAGTACAAATGCTTTGCTGAATCACTGGGTAAATGATAAGTACCCAACCATAACATTTTAACATGGCTACAGAAAAACATGCTTTATTATCCTGAACAGGATTATAAATAGTCAACAATGACTTTGTTAACAGGAGTGTCACTTACTTTTTGGGTGTGGATGAGGAAGCCATTCAGAAGGGAAAAAAATAAGAACAATATTATTAGAATATGAGTCTTTTAGAAACATAAAATAAACAACAACAACAAACCTGTATGAAGTGCCACTCAAAGTCCATAAGATTTTTTATCAGGGTAGAAACGTGCGCATTCACTGTCTGCAGTTTCTTTTGGACGGCCTTCCCTGTCTTTTTGGACACCACCTTTCCTTGGTAGGATTTTGTGCCTCTCTCTGGGTTAATCCCAATGAAACGCCTGAAAAAGAAAAATACGTCCAATATGAGAAAAACTTGCAGACTACAGTGTGTCACTTTCAAAGCAGCAAGTGCTTGTAACAATAAAGGAGTTCTTAAGCAGTACATCCTGAAATTACTCACACTACATAACTTTCTCCACATTTAGCTTTGTTCCAGCTTTTTTTCAAAATGGATTAAACTTTTTTCCCAAAAAATTCAATAAAAATCATCCTATAATGGCAAAAAAGTTTATCTGTTAGTCTTTTGCAAACTTATTATGAATAAAAATAACTTAGAAATCAAATTTACACAAGTATTCACAGCCTTTGCTCAATAATTTGATGATGGTTCTTCTACAGACAATTTCTTTGAGTTTTTGATTGTTTTATGCTCTGACATGTACTGTCCAGGATCTTATATTGGTCATGTCCAATCAACTGAATTTACCACAGGATGACTCCTGTTAAAGGAACACTTGCCAGTTTAGGCTTGTTTTAGCACTCCCTAGTGTCCGTTGGTGAAACCAAAAGTAATAATAATAATACATTTTATTTCAACAGTGCCTTTCTAAACACTCAAGGACACTTTACAGACAGAGATAAAATACACAACAATAAAAAATAGAAGAGCATAAAACAAACAGACAGATAGGAGCAAAGAGAGTAACTATTGGAATGCTAGACGGAACAGGTGGGTTTTGAGTCTGGTTTTAAAGAGAGTGAGGGAATCAATGTTACGGAGGTCAGGAGGGAGTGAGTTCCAGAGCTGGGGAGCAGAGCGACTGATGGCCCTGCTCCCCATAGTGACCAGACGGAAAGGTGGGACAGAGAGGTGGATGGAGGAGGAGGACCTGAGGGAACGGGTGGAGGTTGAAGGATGAAGGAGGTCTGAGAGGTACGGGGGAGCTAGGTTATGGATGCCTTTGAATGTACATAGTAGAATTTTGAATTGGATTCTGGAAGTGACTGGGAGCCAGTGGAGCTGCTGAAGAACAGGGGTGATGTGGTGGAAGGAGGGAGTTCTGGAAATGATGCGGGCTGCCGAGTTTTGGAGAAGTTGGAGTTTATGGAGGGATTTGTGAGGAAGACCGAAGAGAAGAGAGTTGCAGTAGTCAATACGGGAAGTGATGAGGCTGAGGACAAGGATGGCGACCGAGTGAGTAGTGAGGGAGGGGCGTAGGCGGTTAGTGTTACGTAGATGGAAGTAGGCAGACCGGGTAATATTGTTTATGTGGGGCTGGAAGGACAGTGAGGAGTCGAGGATGACACCCTTGACCTGAGGGGAGGGGGAAACTAAGGAGTTGTCGACAGGAAGTGTAAAGCTGTGGATTTTTGATAGTAAAGATTTAGTGCCGACAAGTAACATTTCTGTTTTATCACTGTTGAGTTTGAGAAAGTTTGATGTGAACCAGTCTTTGATTTCAGATAAACAATTGGTGAGGGAGGAAGGAGGAAGTGAAGAGGAGGGTTTGGAGGATACATAGAGCTGGGTGTCATCCGCGTAACAATGAAAATGGATGTCAAATTTATGGAAAATATTTCCCAGGGGAAGAAGGTAAGTGATGAAAAGGAGTGGACTGAGAACAGAGCCTTGGGGGACGCCAGTAGTGACAGGGAAGGGACGGGAAGTGAAGGATTTGAGTTGAATAAACTGAGTACGGCCAGAGAGATATGAACGGAACCAATCAAGCAGGGTATGAGAAATGCCAAGGAAAGACAATCTATGGAGGAGGATGGTGTGAGAGATGGTATCGAAGGCTGAACTCAAGTCAAGGAGGATGAGAATGGAGAGCAGTCCATTATGGGCAGCAGTGAGGAGGTCGTTAGTGATTTTTATGAGGGCAGTTTCTGTACTGTGGCCAGGTCGAAAACCAGTCTGGAAGGGCTCATAGAGGCTACTGAGGGCGAGATGAGCATGGAGTTGAACAGAGATATTTTTTTCTAGGATTTTTGAAAGAAAGGGAAGATTTGAGATGGGATGAAAAGTAAAACTTATCTCCTTGCTGTGCGTTCATATTTTTATTTTAACACCTTAATCTAACAGCTTTTCTTTAGTGTCTACTAGGGGTTGTACGAACTAGTCGACTAGTCGACTTCACTGCTCTGTTGTG